CATCACCATCATCATCACCATCATCATCACCATCATCATCACCATCATCATCACCATCATCATCACCATCATCATCATCGTTTTCATTATGTTCTGAAAAATTCATCAAATTCATTTCAGCTTTTTCTTTTTCCAAAATTTTCAAAAGATACTCAAAAAATGGTGTAATAATTTCTGATGTATATGCTCTATGTATGATTTCCAAATGATTCGTTTTGAACGGTACTTGGGCTTGACAAAATACTTTATAAATTTCACAAATAGCAGTAAATGCGCATTTAGTCATCTCTGGTGGATATTTATGACTTGGATATTTATTTAATTGAATATCTATCCAAATTCGAGAAATAATTATATCTTCAAAACATTGTATTGTTATATCTTTGTTATTTCCAAATTCTATTAATATCCATTTATAAAATAATCCACATAATGTAAGTGATAAAACTCCTTGAGATCTAATTAGTCTATTTAATAAGTCTTTTCCCACGTTATAATGTTCTAAGATTTCTTTAATTACTTCCATTTGATTCGTTTTTTCGATATGTTTTATTAAAAATTGCATCACATTCATTTTTTTAAGATTTTTAACTGGCTTAACAATTTCTCTTAAACATAAAGATGCGATATCAGAACGTGATTTATTACAAACTTGATGGAATGCGGTAATCAATATATCTCCAATTTTGTCAAGTTTAATTTCAAAAATATGAAAAGCATCTGCCATTACAGTAGTCGATAATTGAAAGCCTAAATCTATTAATTCATTTAATCTATTTATAACAACCTCAACTGTTGGAAGACAATAATTGGATGGTGGGCTTGGCGGAAAAAATATTAACAAAGCACCTTGTAATACTAAATCATTAACGTCCGTACAGATTTCAATATAGCCTATATCTTTCCATGATTTAACTAACGGTGGATATATTAATATTGCTCTCGCTATTACGTTAAGTTGTCTATTATTTTCATGACCATCAGGGGCAGGATAATCCTCACGTGCTAAAGCTTGCGCTTGACTTACATATTCAATCGTATCTGAAAATTTTAATTTAGGACGAGGAGGAAATGGTATAAATAACTTTTTACTTATTAATTCTTCAATTAACGGTAAATTACTTTTCAATTTTACTTCAGCTTGACTAATCACCAAAGGACCAGCTGATAAGAAATGAAATAATTCCATATCGTTCCCTTTGACAGGAACATCATCGTTAAACCTAGAAAAGCCTTCCGTCACGATCGCAACGAAAACGTCTATTGATAAATTTGAAGCCCATGATTTACAAATTTTCTTATTTAATTCATTTAATCTATCTCTATCTTGAATATTTTCATTATGTTCAATTTTTAATTTAATAAGATCTGGATCATATCTTCCAAAATGCATTAATAACCTTTGTATAAAATATCGAGAAATGATGATATCATTAGCAAATAATGAGTGTAAAACTTTTATATTTAAAAATTTACCAATTCGAATCGAGTGAAACAAAGCATGTGCCCTTCCATATTTAGTTATAATCCATTTCGCCAGTGCATGGGGGTCTCTGCTAATTGAACCCCATGCTTTACAAGTTAAAGAGATATTTTTAATATTTGGAATTAATGCGAAAATCTCTATTTTTAGCTCCGGATGCAAATTTTGAAGATTTATATCCATGCCTCTTTTTTTTTTCTTGTCCAATACTTAAATTTTAATAGTTTTTTGCTACTCCAAACAATCGACTATTTAAATATTGAAAACATTACTCAGGGTAGACTCGGATAAATGTACGTGGCGGATCAGTATCTTTGATGTCTACCAAAAAAGGACTCATTAATTTTACAAGAAATTTAACCTATTTTTTTATTTAATTTAAAATATTAAAAGTTAAATAATTAATATTACACACATTATAAATTTATTTCATGAATTTTATTTCTCATTTATTTTATTTATATCATTGCAACATATGTAAATGAATTAAACAACATAAATGCACATAAATAAATGCCATACATAATTTCAAACATAAATATTCAGAATGATATAAAATTTTGTTGATCACTTAAATTCTTCAATAAAATTAGAGATTTAAATGATAAATTTGTTTATGAATTTCAAAGTACATAACAAACACTGTCACGTAAGGCTACTTGGACGAATTTACCTGGATTTGTATTGAGTACCGAATTTCATTCAATGATTAAATTTATAAAATTCGAATTTAGGAAGAATCGATAATTTAATTAAGTAATCTTATTTATACCCTTTTAACAGTAATTTCAGGCGCTTTTCGGCATACTTGTAAAGAATTACGTAAAGAATGAGATCTGTGATTGTATTTTTTAGTCGTACTTGCATCATCACTTTTTTAAGGAAATTGTTCTAAACTTTTAATCGTGTTACGGTGATAAATCAGACGTGAAGTTAAATGGACGTCTGATTCAACTCTCATTTGTATTTAATTTTATAAATTATATAATTAATAAAAGGACATCATAACAAATAAAGTTATAATAACATCCACCATTGTTTTTAATGTTTTTAATAGTTATTGGTAATATTAACTATTTAGATTGATTAAATACTCATAATAAGCTGTATATAAAGCAGGTATAATGGGCGGGAATGGTGCACTATTATTTATATAAACATTTCTATAAAATATAATTATAAAAAAAAATTAAATAAAATAATAACAACAAAACAATAACAATGATTATGATGATAACAGTAACGATTTACCTTTCATACAATCCCAATGGATCTAAATTTGGAATAGTTGAATAACCATAAATTATCGTTTCATCAGGGTTCCAAAAGTAAAAACCAAATAAACTTGAACCAGATACATAAGAAATTTCGGTTAAATCATCTTCATTTGGACATTTTCTATTAACGTAACCATTCATAATCCAAGTCCAAGTAAATTGATATTCACATTGAGTTAAATTTAAAGGATCCAATGGATTAAGTTGATCCGTAACTTTAAATTTAATGGTTATTGGTGGACCCCAAGCAAAATAAATCCATGAAGTATAAGAAGCACTGACAGTTACTACTTTATAAGAACTACCATCAGAAAGATATCGATCTTCTTGTACTTCATAATATGCGGGGGTAAAAAGTTTCCATGATTTAGAAACTTCAAGTGCAAGTTCAAATGTTGAATTTGTAGAGACAATTTCTTCAATTTCTTTGGAAGTAGAATTAATGTATAACATAGGTGTTCCGGAAAGACTAGTAATTATATAATCATATCTACTATTAACTGTATAATAATGTCGATGACTAAGTTGATATTCATAAGGGATTAATGAGATATCAGTTTCTGAAACTGAATCTGCCTTACTTAAATAATAAATTACTAATGATATTGCTATTAAAATAATTATAAATATAAAACAACAAACGTAACAACACCAATCTCTTGATTTTGATTTCGTTGATGATGATTGTTCGCCTAATATTAAAGATTCTTCTTCATCAGAAGTGGTACTATCATGAGTTTTAATTGAATCTTCACTTGATGGTTTTGCAGAGTAAACAGAAATGGTAGTGTCAAGATTATCATCTTTATGAGAAGGAATAACTGGATCTTGAGAAGAAGAAGAAGGTTTTAAAGCTTCTTGATTTTCTGTGTCACTAGTAGTTGTATGTGACATTAATTAAGAATTTAAATTTAAATTTTGTAATAAATACTTCTTTAATTTCTTTAAACGTTCGAGGCTTGTCTGTGATACAATTCCAAAAAGCGTGGCTTCTTTTATAAATAAAAAAAAAAACAAATAATGTGGCTTTCTTTAAAAGATAAATAATACGACTCATACAAAAGCCATCTAATATATGTATATTTTATTTATTCTATTTATTCATTTAGTCACATGTTATAATTATATTATATTATTATTATTATTGATTCATTTATAATTCAGATTAAAATTAATTATTTGTAAATTATTAAAAATAGTAAAGTAATATTCGGTATTCGTAAAGCTTCTTTCTAAATTTTTTAATTCGAGTTCATATCGGATTCATGCTTTTAAACAGGAAAAGTTAACAACAATTGTTGATAACCATTTCGGAACAACAATTAAAAATCTTCCAAATTCGATAATTTAGATAAACTATTGGGTCCCGTAGTAGTCATATAGTCAATAACACAGTATCATTTATGTCATACGTGATCATTCACATGTACGTATTTTGAAATAATTTAAATCCGACGTTACGTAACTTTTCTCACGAAATACTAAATTTCTTTTTTGTTGTTGACTTTTTTTTTTTTCACTAACTTTTTACACTCTTTTTATTGCGTCTACATTTTCGCGTCTGTTCTTTACAAGCTTTATTTTTTTATAATTAATTCTATTGCTAATGTTTTCTTGTCTAATTACTATTCTTTAATATTTGCTTGTACTATATATCATTTTTTTTAAATATATATTCTAATCATTGTTTTTTCTTTATATTTATCTAACTGTTTGTTTGTTTTCTATTAACTTTTATTACATTACTAATGTCAGGTAAACCTTTTATATGTGATTTTATTTGGTTTTTTATTGATTTTCTATTAATTAATTAACAATTTAATTTTACCAACAATTTCTTATAAATAAATAATTACAATTTTACTAATGATTTTTCTTTTGTATTAAATTCTTTTTTTTACCTACTTTCTTTTGTATTTGTTTTTTTGAGAGTTTTTTATTAACTACTTTATTTATAACGACTTATATTTTATCAATTATTTATATTTTTATGTTTTATTTCTATTACTGATTTTTATTCTACAGACATTACCAACTTCTACTACTAATACTGTAATTTTCTATTTTAATTAACATTTTTTTATATTTTATTTTTTATTATCGATTCTACTAACTTAAATTTTTACTAACATTTTTTTCTAATTTCTATCAACATTTTAGTCACGACCAATTTTTTATTATTAAAGGTTTTCTACTATGAATTTTTTTTCTACTAATATTTTATCTCTGCTACATTCATTCCTTTCAACATTTCCCCTCTATACAATTATACTACTAACGATTTTCTATGCCCATTTTTATTATTATTAATTTCTATTAATTTCCTAACGATTTTCTTTACATTTTATTTCCACCGACATTTCTCTATTAATATTAACTTTCTTTTTTGTAGTTGGGTTGCATTAGTATCGACGCAACCCGGGTCGCTATTAGACTCTTAATAGTAGCAAACAGATAACAAATTAATAGATTATTTAATAATTGTTTAATAATTGCTTAATATTATGGATAAATCGAAATTTGTATTCATTGACAAATAATAAAATACCATTTACCAACATTACTACCCTTTACCTTTTGTGGTGTTTCTTTTAAATTTATTATTTTTTTTTTTTTTAGGTAAGAAGTTCATTATTTTGTTATATAGATTGAGAGCATATATTATATTAGTTATGATGACTGCGACAAAATATTTAATAAATAGCAATAATATCAAACTTTATTGTACTTAAAAATGACATGTATAAATAAAATTATTGTTATTGTTAAAAATTTTTAAAAAAAGTTCATCAATTATGGTCTATGATATTTTAAATATATTTACAAAATTTTGAAGAAATGCTAATTAATAATAATAAAAAATATATATATAAAGTTAAGATTTTTTTTTTATACGGGATATTTATATTTTATAAATTTTAAGTTGCCAAAACGTGCATGGAAAAATGTAAAAACCGAGGAATTTTTGGGGCAAGGGAATATTATATATACATAGTAATTCATTTTATATTCTAATATATAACTAATTGGAGCAATTTAGGAAAGAAATAAAAGATCGAGGAGAAAAGATAAAATAACAAGAAATATCAAATAGATAATTATTCCTTTTTTCATTCATGAAATTATTTGTTTTACTAAGATCCATACATTCATACATTACATCGATACGTTGTTCGTTGCTTTTTTTTCTATTTCAAATAATGTAAATTAGGGAGAATTTGCTGTCAAATCATGATTGGACCTCTTATCTATCCCATGAACACCTATTAAGTATTATCGCTAGAGAGTGGGAGAAAAGGAAATAGAAAAGGTCTTGTATACAGATACAAGTTTTAGAGTTTATGTAGCATAAAAATAGACTATAACTTTTATTATAGCATTTACAATCAAAGCCCATCAATTTTTATACATAGCCTTACCTGGTCTTGTACTAATGAATCATGTAGACACGACAAATTGAGAGCACGCGACCTTCTCTCGTGATCATCGACTTTGATTTACATTGGTTTTTCTTTTTCTTCAATGAAATCTATTTTAGATAATGCACAATGTAATTAAAAATATTGAACGATAATATTTTTAATTTTATATTTCTTACATAATAATAATTCTATTTCGTATCATAATAAATGAAACTCCTTTGTACAGGTAATTTTTGTAACAAATTATTGCAAATTATTATAATTATTATAAACCTTCAAAAATATTCTTACACCTATCTATTGAATATAAAATACTGTGAAAAAAAGAGTGGCTTTTAAAAAGAGTGACTTTAAAAAAGAGTGGCTCATTTTTTTGAAGAAATAAAAATGATATGAAAAACTAAATAAAGGAATTCAACTAAGATAACGAAGATGAAGTCAGGTGAAAATGAAAATCATCGAATAAAAAAAGAAATTCGAGGCCAATTAATTGCATCATCATCTACAGAAATTGCTCTATTAAAACAATTATTTAAAAATTTTATGTAATGATAATCTCATAATCTTCAGGTTCTAGAAAATCAAGTTTACTAAAATGTTATTATTAGTTAGATTTGAATAACAAATGGCAGTAAAGATTCTTTTCATCAAATTTTGTTTAATTGCTTATAGGTAGGATTCTAGAATTGTGAAGGATATGGAAAAATGATTGGAAACCAGATTTAGAGAAAAGGTGTAGGTCATGTAACATTTAGGCAGGAATTTGTCACAATGTGACCTTAGACATTACCTTACCGTACTGTATCTTTATAACGATATACAATATTCTTATTCTTTTATGAATCACGTGAAATGATATTTAAGCAACGAAGTTTAGTATGATTTACAAGATTTACAGTTATTGTAGTTATTGTTATCTGTTATTTATTATTTTTAAGGAGTCTAAATTTAATTTCAGATAATCACATGATATATGACTAATTATTAGTTGGGGGAATCGTAATAATAATAATAATAAATAAATAACCGATACTACCCGAAATCACTGATACGACCGATACTGTTTGTAATATTACCGTAATTATTTGTTGCGTAATTTATTAACTGCGAATTGCTGCGAATTACTGACGAGTTACTGCTCTGCCGTTACTTCTACTACGAATTATTCGTACTGCGAAATCGAAGAGAATGCATAATTTCATAATTTCCAGAATAATTTTATAGAACTTTCTAAAATTCATTATATTATTATCATTCTGTACATTATAATTATCCTGGAATGTAATGCGCCACCTGAAATAAAACTTTTGATTATGAATCACATTTCCGATTTTGTGTAGAAAAATAAGATAAGACTTTAATTGTGAAACTTCAATATTGCACTGCGCATTCATTATTTTTGTTTATCCCGTTATTATTAAATCTATTATTGGTGTAGCAGCATGTATAATCATGACGGCAGGAATTAAAAATGTAACTCCTGATTTCTTTGTTTGTACGTGATTGTATAATTAATTAATTGAATAACATTTGAATGATATATAAAGACTAAAAAATTTATCTTCCTTTTAAAATCAAAAAAAAAACCAATCCAAACAGTTCTTAGTCAAACAATTTAATAAAATCAAATTAATAAATAATAAATTTTAAATTTTACTTTTATTTTAATTCATTTCATTAAATACGAAAAGATGTCTACCGAAAATTGGGAAGAAATCAATGAATTAGATTTTGAAGATGATTTAGCGCACAGAATTACTGTTCATTCTGTTGTTCATCATCTTAACGTTACTAATGATTCGAATTGTAATGAAGTTGAAGAGTTAGAATATCAATTAGTACAAGCCCATAAACAACCGACGTATGCAGCGGCAGCTAAATGGGGTATTCACAAGAAAAATAAAAAATCTATCGATATTAATTCTGTTGATAATGTGAAAGATATTGGTAAAGTTGATGTGAAAGAGAAAAAGAAAGAAACGAAAAATAATAATAATAATAATCATCATAATAAAAATAATAAGGATAAAGAACAGAATCTTCTAAATGGTGATCATGAAGTGGATTATGAAGAATGTAATCTCGCAAATTCTCCCTCCAAACAATCTTCTTCACCTAATATAAATCCATCTACTCTTGTCACTTCTGATACTTCTACTCCTATTCCGGATACTTCTACTCCCGTTACTCCTGTTCCTACTTCTCATACTTCCATTTCTACGGAACCTGACTCTCAGGATTATTGTAAATCAGTATCACGTAGACATAATAATCATGTACACAAACTTTCAACTCAACGACTACTTGAACAAATATCTAATCCAATTACTATTGAATTGAATGCAAGTGCAGTTAAAGGTGATACTAATCGTAATCCTGAATACAAAAAATATAAAATACTAAAAAAATCTTTACGATATAAAAATGGTAGTGGTAAAAGTAAAGATAGAAAAAATAATACAGATAAACGAGTTGAAGTTTGGTAAAAATATTTTTTATTTCTATTTTAAATATACATAACAACAATAATACTGAAATAATAATAGAAAATAACTCAGAAATAACCCAGAAATAATAATAATTACTATTATTATAGTTCAATAAATTAGAATCCTTTCTTGTAATAATTTTTGTTACTTTGCTTTGTTAGTGGATATTATATCTTCTAATTTTTTTTCTTCATAATCAATCAATATTACACCATCTTGAATTTTCAAATACACTCTTTTTCATTTATTAAATTTTGAAATAAATTTTGAAGTGATAAAGAGATATAATAAATAATGAATTCTCTTTTTTTTTTTATATGTACTAGTGAAGAAGTAGATTATTCATTTTTTTTGATAAATAAATGCTTATTAGTATTGGAAAAATAAATAATTATAGAGTAAATATATTTTAATTGATAGAAAATAATAATTGAAAATCTCTTTTAATTAAAGAAAAGAATTAAATATTACAAAATAATCCCCATTTAAGTTTCTTACTTTTACACCTTTATGATCTAATTTTCTGTAAATCTTGGAGCTAAAATAGTAAATTTTAACTATTACAACCATTATATAATTCATTAGTTAGGTGTCATGTGTTGATGCAAATCCTGATAAATTAGGAAATTAAGTTTATTTCTTCCACTTGCGGAATTTAAAGAAAATAAAAAATGCATACAATACATGCGTACAGTTTATAATAAATAAAAAAAATAAGATAAAATAAAAAATAATAATAATAAAATAGAACAAATAATTATAAAATTATAAAAAAAAAAAAAAAAAAACTACGCAAAAATTCTATTTTTCTTTTCTTTACGAGTTTTGGTTTTTAATGCCATAACAGAATTACTAACAGTTAATTTAAATCCTTTTTGTCGATTCAAATAATTCACCAATGGTTTAGCACTTCCAAGTAATAAAATTTTCGTTTTCTCTTTTCTAATAACATCATTTGTAATATCCATTGATGTATTCTTTGATGATAATAGGTCATATAACTTGGAATGAGAATCAATAAGTTTTCCGTCTTTAGCTATTGTGGCACGTGCGAGTACTGGATTATCGTCTATGGTTCCGTTTATCTGTAGAAATAAATAATAAATATTTAGGTTAACCAAGAAATCTAATTTAAGTATTCTTTGAATAATAATAATAAAAGAATTGAGAAAACAAACAAAATCATTCATAAATGGATAAAGAGATTTGCTGAAATGTTTGCTGCTTTCAAGAGGAATTTCAGTAGGTAATATATCAACTGCCATTATTTGTGTTCCTTTTCCAATGTCCCTATATATAAATATGTAAAATATTTTTTTATCAAAAAAAATAAAATATTATGAAATATCATAAAACGAAATAAATTTTGTATTACTTTTTATGTTCCTTATTGTTGATTGCGTCGACATAATAAAATGGATCGTCAATCGTTGTTGAATGTGAGAGGAATTCCAAAGCACCCTAAAAATATTGAAAAATGTTGACAACAGATTTAAAATCATCTCTCTCTCCGTCTCTTTCACTCTACATTAAAATTAATTATAAAATATACAAATATACACACGTTAATATCGCAGCTAATATCAGAGATAGCTAACATTCGGTATTTAAGGTCGAGATTTGATTGATTTGATTGATTTAATTGCAAATTATGAAGTTGTTCTTTAGTGATTAATCGAGGAAATCTCGTGTCCCAATAAGATCCATGTACAAGCATAGTGGTGTATGGTGCGATCTACGGGTGAGATGAATGAGATGAGTGAGATAAGTGTCAAATTCTATTATCATAACAAAAATTCAAACAAAATAATACCTTGGTATGGAACTGTGATATATATTGTTCGGGATGATCATAATAATTTTGTTTCGAATCAAATTTTCCGGTATCTTTGCGTATTAAATAGTCATGCAAAGAAATTTGACAACCGTATACTTTATTATTGGAGAATTTATCTATAAAAAAAAAGAAAATGGTTAATCCAAAAATCTAATGTTATAATGATTTGTTCACGTGATTTTATACTAACGACTTGCTAATGTGCATTCTGGTAAATCTTTTACATCTATATATTCGTGGGGTAAACATTTTAAGATTTCTTGTGCACCCTGAAATATATATATATATATATATATATGAAAGCTTTGTTATAAAAGAGATACGTAGATATACATATATTATGAATTCAGTATGAATAACTTAATAACTTACTTTGGAAACATGTCCGGCACCGGTGAACGCGAAAATCATAGGTCCTAAATCTTTGGGGAGACCTTCATTAACTATCATATTACCTACCTCTTTAACGGAAGATTTGGCCGATTCGAGTGTATTATATGTGTAAGACATGCCAATATGCTAGATAAAAAAATTAATTAAAAATAAAAATAATTATAGTAATTATACTAATAATTATAAATATTTACCATAAATGGTGTATTATAACCTAACCCTAAAAGTCTTAGACCGAGTCCATGAAAGCCGTCAATCATCCCTAATAAAAAGAAAGTTTTAAACACGGCACGTACTAAAAAAAATAATTAAAATGTTATCTACCCTACCTGCGTATCCAGCATGCGTTCCAAATAATACTAATCGTTTATTTTCATTCGTCATTAATTCATAATCAATTAATCTAATGTTCTAAATGTATTAGACAATAATTAGATAATAAATAACAATTAAAAATATATATATATAGTATATTCAGAAGGAATTTTTACCTTATTAAGTACATCTTGTAACATAGGCATGTTATACAATTGTCCCTTATGAGTGTGAGAAAAGAAGACATAAGTTTTATTTGGTATCAAATTTTTCGTCGGAACTTCTTTAATACCAAATATAACATCAGCTTTTGAAATATCATCTTGAATAATTGCTCCAGCCTACAAAATAAAATAAAAAATAAAAAGATAAAATAAGAGAATTATACGAAATTTAAGAAAATTCAAGTTTTATCCATACCTTTGCATATTTATCATTGTTGAAGATTCGTTTGTTACATGGTTGAACAAATATTTTGACACCAGTTTCTTTTATCAGGCTTGAAACTGCTTCAGGTGTCAAAGCCACTCGTCGTTCCCAATGACTCTTATCTTCTCTTCGCAAAGCAATTGATTGAATTCCTCGGGCAATAGTATTAAATTTTTGTTGTTTGAAATTTAATAATTTATTGACATTATTATATAAAGATTGACGAGCAGGAAAGTTAATGAATGTAAGCATTTTTTTTTATCAATTTTTCTGAAAAAGATTTATTGACCAATTTTTTTTTGTATATTTTGAAGACAGTTAAATTATCGTGGGAATTTGTAAGATATCGTGAGAATTATATTACCCCTTTTCCTTTTAAATAATAATAATGACAATATCAATAATTTACTGTTAAAATATTTGTCATATGAACGGAAAATTATCAAAACATTACTGTATATGTCAAAGTTGGCTTACGGTCATTTGACAGGGTAAAAGCTGTGTGTAAAATTTTGTACCAAGGAGTATACATTTTAGCTTTCGGTAGTATTTATTTTCAAACCCTGAAATTATAATAACCTTTATTAGTCATTACTATATTGTTTCAGTAAACAAAAGGTCGGATTTTCTTAACTTGAAGATCTATTTTGAAGATAATGTTAAACAGAATTTGTATAGAAATCCAATTTTGGTGAAACTTGTGAAAATTGAAGGGCTGGGTCAGTTATTGTACTTCTGGCTAATTAATTTTTTTTTTTGTTGGTTAAAATTTGATAAATTATTAATAGTAATATTATTAATAAATTGTAATAACTTGAATGATTAAATTGTCATTTTGAAGTTTCGAATGATATTATAAGTACCTTAGTAAATAATTGCTTCCTATTGTGTAAAATCAATTTGAAGTAAAAATAAAATATTAATTTTAGAAAATGATTTTATCACCATTTTAAGATTACGAACTTGTTATGAGAACTTTTGAATGATCTACATCAATCGGGCATTCCACATAAGTCACTTGAATGACATGTTTATGAAACTTAAGTCACCTGAGTGAAGTGTAAGTCATTGAAGCATTGAAGGAAAAGAAATGTATACTTTTTCTGCACTTAATACAGTATAAAACTCAAGGAATGTATATTATAATTTTTTTTTTTCGAATTTCAACGGTGCAATCGCGTATTGCCGAGTAACCAAAATCTGTTTTCAAAAAATTTATAAACCTTGAAAAATTTCCCCCCTATTTAACGCAAATAATTTAATAATGAGAAGACAAACTCTTAAACTATCTTTAATCGTTTTATTTTTCTATCTGTTGATATCGACTATTACTATTAATGTTAATTCCCATGAAATTACCACCACTACTATAATAACGATCATTGTAAAACCTGCACAACTAACCTACTCCTCAAATTAGTTGTCCGAAGTTCCTCAAAGATAATAAACGGAAAAAAATGCCATTGTAATAATACTGTTATTTGTACTCTTACGGAAACGCAATGCTGTGCTGATGGTGTCCGATGTGATGGTCAAAATGTTGCTTCATACTATTACCAGAGATGTTATTGGGAGTACCGTTCAGATTATACAGGTGTTTGCGTATAATACTAAGCAGATTTAACAAATAGGATAAAATTGTAATATTTTTATAGATGAGCTCTCGTTCTATAAAGCAATTTATTTTTTAAGCTTAGTTTTTCAATCTTAAGTTCATTGATTTATTCCTTCAATATTGTTGTTTTGATTCAGATTATTTTCAAATAGTTGTGGTTTCCCCTATAATCTTGGTTGTGTCTTTTTCTACAGCTTTAGTTCTTTTGGTGATATGGTATATTTTTTGCTGAATATTTGTGGTGCTTTCAATAATTGGAAGTACCTGGATTAGTGATTTGGGCTAAAAGGTTTAGGACGTTTAGGATAGTTTAGGACACAACGGGCTAAACTAAAAGGTGAAAAGTGGAAGGACTTTTTGTTATGGGCGAAACTTTTATTTGCTTCCTTAGGTTTAGGACTACTACCCTGGGTGGTTATTGCAGCAATAAGATTAATAAAATTAAAAGATAATTGAAAAAGATTGAAAAAAGATAGTCAGGTTTAGGATGGTTTAGCCCGAATTATTAGCCTGGATCATATTTGGGTATGTGGCTGGATTTTCATAAAGGAAAAATTGCAGACACGAACTTTTAGAGTAAGTACAAAGTTATTGTATATTTTATTTCCTAAATGAATGATTCTTTAAAAATTCATGTCATTTATTTTTATAGAAACCTGCGAGGTGGATACTACTGTGATCAATTGTGTGAGAAAATTGAGTCTATGGTCGTAATATTAAAATTATGAAGAAAGAATTGGTACGAGATTGGAAGTGAATGGGCTTTGTCAAACAATGTTCAAGTAATCCAACTTAAAGGTTTGTGATTTAGTTATGCATTTATAGGATTCCACTATGCATTGTTTGGTAACTAATTTCCAAATAGAATGTTTCGATGAAAGAGCACCATCTGAAAAACAAGCGTATGTCAACCTTTTTAGGAGAGAAGTGAAAGGCATGTCATAGTTGACCATTAGATATTACACTTGATGAAAATAAACTCTATCGGAACTTTAAATTACACGTGTTGCTCAAATCCCAAAGTACTAATATTTGGGATTTGGGATTTGGGATTTGAGATTTTAGCATTTGAAATTTGAATTTGGATGCAGGTATACTTCAACCATTATATCCTAACAAAATCATTTTTCGCAATGGCGAATTATTATCATTCGTCACTTATTAGTATTTTATCAATGTACCAGTAGATTCCAAAGTTTACATTAATTTTTAATTGTTATAGTCATTAGTTTGAAATTCTATATTATATATTTAACAAAGAAAAAGTACAGTACATTGTATTTACATTCTAATAAAATAATACTTAAGTCTTGATCAATAAAAGATCGGCACTATTTTTATAATAAAATCGGGGGCAATTTCTTTTAGTCTGGAATCTGTAGATAAGTATAAATTGTTACAATATAATCATATAGTATATGTATGTTAAGTATATTACTTGGGCATTTTTTTGTAAAAAGTCCAGAGAATAAAATAACTTTCTTATATGCTGTATGTAAACAGTGCTGATCATGGATCAGGGTTAGAAAGCTTGAACAAATTCTGGTATTTATTACACTATACCTAATCTTCATACTCTCCCCAATGGCAATTATAATGGGAGACCTTCATCTTTGTAATCTGTCCATTCCTCGATTGAACCAACTGTAATTTGAAAATCTGAATTGTTCTCGTTTCACCACAAAACAAAATTTTCAGAAATAGCAAACCCTTTTTCTTGAGATTGAACATGTACTTGGATCAGGAAATTTGTAAGTGTATTTGTAAAATCTCTTGAGAGAAACTTAATGTTGAAATGAAACACAAGCAATTAGTAATTTTCTCTGAAACATGTTATTAAATCAGAACCAATTAGATACAATACAGATGCTGAGCTTAATCATTAATGCTTTAGATTTTTCAGAGTCACTATCTTCGTTATCAGGCAAGTAAATCATCTTCTAAAAATAATTATAATGATTTCAATATTTAATAAAACTTTGAGTATTCTCAATACCTTGCATCTGACTCTTGTTAGTTAGGTCCGTGATGAGTTATTTTCTTTTAAAGAAGGGTTTTGATCAGTTTCAACAGCTTTAGTGATATTCATTATTCATGTAATTATTTATAATTTATGAAATTTATTTTTTTGTATAACTTCAGATTTGTATAATATTGATATTTAATAACATATCTGTCACACAAGTCATTTCATATATATAAAAAGAATTCTTTTTTGCAAAAAAACATGTACACTTATTTTTAAGTTAAGGACTCATATGTAAATTTTAAATAGGTTCAATGAATATTTATATATTTTATTTTTAGTTAAAAATTTGAATTAAAGTAAATTTATAATTTTATTGAATTTTTTAAAAAGACAAATTATTTTTTTAAATAAGCAACTTAATTGATTTTTTGTTAAAGCTTCCTTTGTAAAAAGAGATCTTTTTTTAGGTAATCCAAAATCAAAGGTATTGAGTTTTGTTTTTTGAATTATCACCAAATACCCAAAGTAACTATTGCAATTTACAAAAGATAATTTAGAGAATCCACCAGAAATAATATAATTATATTATTTCCAGTTAGTTTAGATTATGTTGGATCATCTGTGATGTGGATTTCATTTTTTAGGCCATACTCGAATAACATGAGTTTCATTTTTTAGACTGTACTCAAATGACATGCATTTTGTTTTTTTAGGTTACACAGATAACCTGATATAATCTAAAAATAATGTATAATGTGTAAATTGCATTTGTAATATCAATTGAGAGTTATTAAGATACATGTCATAACTAATGTACAATTTCTTTTTCTCATATCATTTGAATAACAATTGCAATTAATTTTCGTTGCCATACTTGAATACTCCATATCTTAACTTGTATATCAGCTTAATGTTTTCAATTAATTTCCTTTAAAAAAGAATAATATATTAGGTTAAAATGTGATAATATGTGTTCTTCTGTATTAAGTTCTAATTCCTTTAGAAACCTATATTTGTATATTGTTTACTGCGTATATAACCAATTTTTGTCATTAGTTCAGACTAAAAATATATTTAATGATCCAATTACATTTTACATGTTATTTATGAAGATATGTAGTAAGATATATAATATCAGATATATTGCAAACACATTATTAGATATATTATATACATACTATTTGACATTGTATATACAGACTATCAAATATATATATTATCTATATCATAAGTTTGATAGTCCGATTACAATTTACACATCATTTGTGAAAATAAATAGTAAAAGTATATGTTATCATATATATTACATATATGTTGTTAACTTTATTTCTTTGATTTTTAATTATATATATTTATTATTCTATTATTATTATTATTATATTTTATTAGTTAGATTTTTCTTATTTGTATTATATTTATATTATTATTATTTATAAGTAACAAATGTAAATTATTTATGTGTAACTAAATTGTAATGTGAAGTTAATACCTCTGGTTGACACCTCTGGTCAATACCTCTGATAAACACATCTGCCACAAATGACTCATTGCCACAGGTTGAAATCCATATTTCGGACATATATCGAAGGCCAATTGGGTAACTATAGGAGTGACCAATAAGTAACCAATAGACCTCCAATATATGTCCAATAAGTGTAATATAAATAT